GTGGGTTATGATTGGTTGCTTTTGGACCAATCATGAGGTGCAGGATATGCAAATTTGAGGGATTCTAGTAGTCAATCAGAGCAAGGTTTCGAAGGTCAGGTTTTTGGAAGGGAACCAATCATGGTAACTGTTTGCTCTCTGAGAAACCTCGGCAGACTCGCTGGTGCGCAGCCTCCCACAGCAAGCCCCCAGGCCTGGGACTTGAACCATTGTTGGCCACGTGGTACTGTCTTATGCCTTAACCAACATGCCACCTGCTGGCCTGCTTTCTTAAAATTTCTAACTTTGGGGACCAGCAGTTGGCGTAATGGCTATGTCGTTGGGCTCCCATGTAGTTGACCACGGTTCGAGTCCCGGACCTGGTGGCTTAAACTCCCCCCAGCCACATATGTGCATGCTCAAGCTCCCAAGAGGAGAATGGAGGAGAAAGAATTGTGGTGTAGCCATCCCCCTGGGGGGTGATTTCTCGCTTTCTGTCTCTCTCTCTTTCTGGGATCTCTCTCTCTTTCTGAGATCACACGTGCCCTATAGCAAAAACCTCTCCCCCCAAAAAATTCTAACTTTGGTATTCGTGTGAGGGGCATTCATGAATTCTGTCTCCTTGTCCCATGGGGACTTCTCTAAGGAAAAATATTGTGGAGGTTTCCTTAGGAGCCCCTGAAGGGAGGGGAGGTTTTTCAAGGTCTTTCTTACATTGTTCTAATCCCTTCCTTAAGCCCAGAGAGCGTTTGGGGCACATTCAGCCTGCCTAGGGCCCTCTTGTCTCTGGTTCTGTGGGCCATAGGAGGAAGGCAAGAGAGAGGGTCCCAGGGTTCTTCCTCAGTGTTAATGTTTTCCTTGGATTTTAAGAAGAAACATGGTAACCACACAGAGAATAACTTGTTCCTCCTGGGAGGGCGAGGACTTGTCATCCCATAGAGGATGAAGGCCTGACAGACCCAGCCTCCACCAAGCCCGAATGAGGCCAAGAGACAAGGTCTGCACCATTGTCTTGGTCTCAGCAACACAGCGTTCGATCACTTTCTGTTTCTCTTTAATCTTAGTCTGGGAATTACTTTCCCAGCATTTTAACATTCTCCCAAGGGATGACCCGAGGACTGCTGGGAGGACTCTCTTGTTCCTCCCTTGTCTCTGGTCCTACAACTCCTGTTTCACCATTTCGCTTTAGGTCAGCGATTCCTGAGTTTGAGTCCCTCGCACATCAGGACCTGTGTCGAGATCTTGGGCCATGCTTTGTGTGGGAGAGCAGAATCGCCCCTGCACTCCCTCACCAGCACCCTCCCAAGTGCCCAGCCCAGGGCACTTACCCTGCCTCCCCTTGCAGAAGTTGTCTCTGGTTGGCACGCTTCCTCCTGCATTCTCTCTGTGCTCCCCCATCCTCCCATGTCCTTCCAT